ATGCCCTCCACAACTAGACTGAAGAACAAAAGGACAGCAACTTGTCTGTTCCCCTTACCCCAATTCCCCTGCACTGTTCCCCTCCCCCCAATACCCCAATAAAAAAAATCTTAAAAAAAAAAAAGACAGATGAAAGTAAAAAGATGAAAAACTAAGCCATGTAACCCAAACACTGTAGAAACACTGTCGTTAATGTACTGTCACAATATAAAGTAAGAACATTGTTGGAAATGAGGAGGCGTGTTTCATAAGAAAAGACTGTGTGTCTAAACAATTAGCGATGTCTTTTTAAAAAATCTATATGTACCTAATAATATAAGTTCTACATGAAGAATTAAATAATTATAAATGGAGCTTTAAACAATTCTCTCTCACTGCTCATCAGAAAAGCAGATATATCAGAAATACTATAGAGGGTTAAGCCAGACAATTAACCAGTACACACACACACACACACACACACACACACACACACACACACATACAGTATGGTAGTAGAAAATACTCATATTTTTAAGTTCACATGAAAGTATTAAAATTATATTACATACTCATATTTCCAAGAATATTAATATAAAATATATAGCACTGTAGTACCCACTAGCCAATTTGGCAGGTGGGCACTTGAAATGTGGCTATAAAATTAAAATTTTAATTAATTAAAAATAAGTAAAATGTTATGATTGGTCTCTCAGTCAAACTAGCCATATTTAAATAGAGCCATAGTTTTCCATTTTTAACAAAAAAAATTTCTGATTAAAGTTTACCAAAATAAGAGTCAATAATCAAAAAATTAAAAATCTTTACATGGTTTTAAATTCAGTAATAAATTTCTAAATAACATGGGCCAAAAAAGTGATCAAAATGAACAATCACAATTTTTATAAGAAATACAGGAAAATATAATAGCAAAACTCTGTCTTGTGAAATATCAATTGCCTTAAATATATATCTTACAAATAAAGGATAAAAGAAAAACAAACATGCATCTCAAGAAACTAAAAATAGAAAAGATAAAATATGTGAAATTGAATGCAAATGAAGAAGAAAACACACAGAAGAAAAAACAAAATCAAAACAAAGAACAAAATTCTGATACAGAGGATCAACAATGTCAAAGTTATTCTCAGAAAAATACTTAATAAAATTGATAATGACTGTTGAAAAAATATGAGAAGGTACAGATGTTTTATACCTAGAATAAATTAGGGAATAGCATTATCATTTTTCCAGATAGTATGGAGATAATAAAGTCGTATTATGAATCCATTTTAATATCTATAAAAAATAGAAAATTATGAAAACACAGTACAAAAAATATAAACCTCAGTAAAACTTGCCTGTATTATAAAAACTGAGTTCACTTTATAAATTTTCTTACAAAAAATCCTTCAAGTTCAGATTGGATCAGTAGTGAAAAATAACATTAAAAATATGACAGTTCTCTTAGACAGAGGCTTCCAGGTACTAGAAAAAGAGGAATGTATCCTGATATAACCTTGATATTAAAACCTGTTTAGTGTATAAGTAAAAATTCATTATAATCTCTTTGTGAATATGGATGAAGTAAAACAACTTAAATTAAGTGTAATATATTAACTGATTTTTAAACAAGGACAATACAGAATGATCACTGTAGTTTTATTTTAGGTATGCAAGAATGGTTTAACATTTCAAAGAAATAACCATAGTTTACTTCATAAACATTATACAGAAAAATGTTTATCACTCCAATTGATGCAAAAATAATAAAAATGAAACACTGATTAATTATAAACTCTATCATAAAAATAGCAATATTATGGAATTGCATTTATATGAGGAAGGTATGATAAAGAAAGCTTTAAAACGAACCTCATACTTATGGATGAAATATTTAAATACTTTTTCCTAAAGTAGGGAAAGATAACATAGAACCTTTACTGTCCTTTCTATTCAACACTGAAAATAAAACCCTACCATGTGAAAATCAGGCAAGGAAAAGAAGTAATTGCACCAGGGGTGAATAAATAAAAGTGTGATTACTTACAAATGAAATAGCTGTTTAAAAATTCAGAAGAATATATATTTGAAATGATAGAATGAATACAAACAACCAGTGAAGACATTGGATATAAACTCAACATGTAAACCTCAATTGCATTTTTGCTGTAAAGCAGCGAAAATTAATAAAGAAAATTCACAAATAAGAGTGCTATTTACAAGAAACAAAAATCCATGTTTCTGTAAAACTTCAATATAGAAAAATAAAAAATATTGTTTTGAAATTAAAGAAAAGCTAGTATATGGAAGAATACAGCATGATATTGTTTGAAAGGGTCAATATTGTAAATGGCTAATCTTTATAAATAACTTAAAGTTTAAATGCAGTCGAAAACATAAAACCAAGTGGTTTTTGTTTTTGAAACAGCTTTATTGAGGTGTAATTTACACATAATATTAATCATTTACAGTATATAAATCAGCAATCTTTAGTATATTCACAGAGCTTGCAACCATCACCTCTATCAAAATTTAGAAAGTTTTCCAGGGGGCGAGGGGGTGGTAGAAGAGGGTAAAGGGGGTCAAAATATATGGTGATGCAGGGAGAGCTGACTCTGGGTGGTGAACACACAATGCAATATACAGATGATGTATTATAGAATTGTACTCTTAAACCTATGTAATTTTACTAACCAATGTCATCCCAATAAATATAATAAAAATTATTTAAAAATGAATTAATTTTTAAAAAGTAAAAAAAAAAAAGAAAAAATGTCAGTCCCCAAATGAAACAGTGTACCAATTAGCAATCATTTCCTGTGCCCAACACCCTCAGCCCTTTGCGACCACAAATCCATTCTCTCCCTCCATGTGTTTTCCGATTCTTGGTATTTACTATAAATTGACTCCTACAACATGATCTATCAGAAAGACTGAATGCCACAAATACAATGTTGAAGAATAAAAGCCATATGCTAAAAGTGATGACATCTGTAGTTTTGGATATGTATGTTATTTTCCAATAGTTATTACAATTTTTTTTTCATTATTAGAACAAATAATATAATTAATTTTAAGTGTATACAATCATAATATTATTTCCATCTCATGAAAATCAAGTTATCTAACAGAACCTCAACTGCAGTTTTTAACTCCATAGCTTATGCTTGCAAAGATACACTTCTGAAGATCCACAAGTACTTGATAGGAGGCCATGTGAGTTTAGCTTAGCACAGTTATATTTACCCTTTGATGATTCTTTTATCCTGTAATGGAGAAAAATACATATTCTGTCATTATCGTATATGGGCAATATATGAAACAATATAATTTTTCACATAACTGTAATAGAAGAATATTTTTAAAATGTGTAATGACATTTTTCATATAATATTAAAAAGAGTTATTTTGAAAAACTGGACAGTCATTTTTTAGTATTTACATCAATACTTAATTACCTTTGACCATCATTCTTTATGTTTATAATTCAACTTAAACAAATGCATTAATATTACTCTCATGAACTTCTCTTTTTTATATTTTTCTTGTATATAGCATTTAAAAAACAACTTACTTTAGTTTGGAAGGTGAACCATTTATCCACATCCATTGATGATCACTGCTGTTACGGAAGACTCCAATCCATGATACAAGTGATAAAGAACTCAGAAATTGCTACTCCAAAATAAAGAAATTCTATTTAAATAATCATTATGAAAGTTTGTATTATTGTTTTAAAATGCAAGTAGTGTATTCTTTCATAGGATACTCAATTTACAGAACAAATTACAAATGTTGAATCATAATCTAACACTAACAATATGTGTTAAAGGCAAAACTCATGTTTTACATTGCCAAAATTTTAAGTAATGTTTGTACTTTTGATTTAAAATTAAGTCTTAAACTGTTAGGCTTAGTAGTTAGGTTAATAAGGAAAATTCTGATTTCTGTAATTTAATAGTTACCTATGTTGAAAAGAGTAACATAACAAGACTTTAAATAAGTTTCCAAATACTTATTGAACATATTTGATACTGTGACAAAATCAATGTAGTTTTCTATGTTTCTCAGAGTTCAGCTTTTAGAAAAAAATAAAGGGAATATAATTAATGAGATAAATGACATGGAAGCAAAAAAATTGGTTTTCTGTGCCCCACACCATTCTTTAACCAGACAAGCCCCACACCAATCTGATTCTGTGTTGATAGAATCCAATGGTCCACACAAGGTGTCAGAGACTCATTTCTTTTCTACTCCTTGCTAACTACAAACTATAAATTCTAGAACTAATGAAAGATACAAGTAAGAAGAACTCTGAAAGGTGGAAAAAGAGAGAGGATATAGTTTAGTGCCCCAGGATTAGGAACAACAGAGTGATAGGGTATCTTATATCCCCACCCAACAAAAGAAAGTGACCGCGGCCTGCCGCTTCCCAATACCCAACCTTGCAATAGTGGCGACTCAAGGAAGGCTTCCCTCCTCTGCTTTGGGGACAGAATCCTGCCCAGCAACATCAGGCAGCCTGACGGTGATCCATCAGGACACCTGCTCACAGAGCAGCCAGAGGAAGTGCTTCTCCTTCCCCGCCAGGGAAGGGGGCTTGGCGGTGGGACCAGCAAACGGGATCCTATGACTAAGTACTGGACCCAGGAAGCCTCTTTATCCTTGAGGGCATGAGACTCACATCCCCATCCAGAGACATCAGAGAGAATGGATTTTAAAATGTTCCATTTACATAATCAGCAGTAGAAAGGAACAAAGCACAGATACATACAATAGTAAGGATAAACTGCAAAATTATCATGTGGAAGTGAAAAAGACAGGATGAAAGAAAGCATATTGCATGATTCCCTGTATATGAAGTTTAAAAACAAACCAAAATCCCATCAGGTAAAAAGTGAGAACAGTGGTTAAATAAGGAGGGAGGGGACGTGATGAGAGAATGAACAGGAGCAGGGCTGCTGAGCGCTGGAAACTGCTATTGTGAAATCCGATTAATAATGATATGATTCTATTTACTTCATAATCAATCTGCAGAATTATGATGTTTAGCATCTTTTATGTATGATAAAATTTAATAGCACAGCTTATTTTAGAAAAAAGGATTTATAGAAACCTGATTTCCTATGAAAGGTATGAACTAGAAATTATCAAATGTGCATTAGTGGTATAAAATATAAATAGGATATTATAGAGTCAAACAATGAACTATTAACAGACTTTGAAATGCAAACTAAAAATATGTACAAAACTATGTTTGAACTCTGATAACATAATTTCAACTAAAATAAGCTTTCGAGAAATTCTTTCACTTTCAAAATGTTACCTTTTCTTCTTCATCATCTATAAGAAGCAGAGTAGAGTTCTTGGAAGCACAGGCCATCTGACTCTCAGTCCATGTTTTAGTTTCATTACTAATGTAATAGCAGTTGTTGGAATATGTAATCCACTCCTTTGGACAACGACCACAATGATGCACTTTAGAAAGATTGTGAATTATTATCCAATAATAATCTGAATTTTAAAAAGCAATTTAACCTACATATATGCATAGTTATAAACATATATGTGCATGTCATATCCATGCACCCTCACAGGCTGGTACATATAAAACACACTAACACACATTCACAGAGAAGGGTCACCTCTCATTCACTAATTTACATGCTCATATAGAGCAAACACATAAGCAACTATATCCACCTTTAATGTCCTGAAAGTCAATGAATGGACCAACCTTTTTAGAATAGAAATGTTATTTGCCTCATCTTATCAAAGCAGTAGGAAATTTGAGCCAATTGGCAACAATAGGTAGGGTGATTTAAATGAAGATTTCTTCATATTGCTGCATAAGAAGGAACAGTCTCAATCATTATTTATAAATATTTGTTGCCACATTTTATAATTTATGTTCTCCCCCATAAATTCTATCATATTTTTGCATTCCTTGAGATAAAGAAAAATATAAACTGTACTAATATCAGAACTTTGAAAATCATCATGTACCTTTCTCGATCCTTGTTGTTGGGGATGAATTGCTTTGCTCTGGTATTACAGGAGCTAGAAAAAAAAGTAATTCTTATAAAAAATTAATTTTAATCTAAATAAATCAATAATTTTAGGTTCTTAGTTTGAAATTTGGTATATTTTTGAAGTTTAGAAAAATTTTAAATAAATTGATATTACCAGGAAAATAAAATACTAAAGATTTGCAGGAAGAATATCTCAAAAGCCTATAGAATCAACATTTCCATTCTTACAGTATTGGTTTAACTGATCTCAAGTATTAGTTTGTATTTCTCAATAAGGTCTTTTAGTCTCTTAAAGAATGTCTTTGAGTTATGAAATCTGAATATATACATATATACATATGTTATATATATGAGATACTCTCTAGAATCATTTTGTTATATATATCTATATATATATTTTTTTTTTGAGCCATCCTGCCATCTGTTGGCAGCTCAGTGGCAGCTCAGCTCAGGCGAGACTCAAACCGCTGTTGTTCAGAGCTCTCACTCTTGAGCGAGCTCTTAACAAACTGAACAACTCAGCTGGTCCTGTTATTTATATTTTTGACAAATTCAGATAAAAATTCCACATTTAGTCTAAAAGCACACATCAAAATGAGTTCTATTTCATAATGTTATGAAATATTTGGAGGCACTGATGATTCTTTAAGTGAAAAGTTTTGTATGATTTTTAAAAATTGACTTACAGGGAATAACAACTATTGTTACCACAGTGGACAGCAAGACAAGGCAGACGACTCCCAGGATCCCAGCAATGAGTTTCTCTGGAGGTGATGGAAAATCTACAGGGAGAGAAAGTGAGGAAGTGAGATGGAAACAGTTGTTTAGACAGTTTACACACATTGGACCTTCATGCACAGGGAATCATACACATAAACTTGGACCCCAAGCCCATATCTACCATTGCAATCTTCCTCTCAGACTATATATACCATTGCATTGTCAGGAAATACAATTTTCCATGAGTTGTTGGTCAAAGACTACACATTAAAATGATGCCTGAGTAAAATTAGTCCTCAGATTTCATATTAGAATACTGTATTCCAACTTCAATCTCTGATCCCCACAAATAAAACATGACTCTCCACATATTCCCTATGCTTCACCATATCCCTGCACCCCAACTGCACATCCTAGAACAATTATACTGTGTATCTGTTAAACATTTTACCTTTGCAGTGGTAGTTCTTGTCATTCCCTTGTAGATCGTGTGAAGCGTTTTGAAGATTTAATTCTGCATAGGTTATTTCCTGCTCAGTTACTGAAATGGAGCTCTTAGCGCCCTTAGGTTTTATTTGCTGTCTCCTTGAGTCCTTAGCCAGATTCAGTTCTGCATAGGTTACTGTTTGGTTACTCATCTCTGCAGCTGAGTGGTGTCCGAGACTGTGTCTAAGGTAAGTGTACTTAAGAATGAATAGTATATGTAATGACGAGATCCCTTGCAGTAAAAGTGGGTGGGGTAGAGGGCGAGGTGGGCTCATTTCCTAGTAGAAGAATCTAAAGGTCTTGTTTTAAATGCTTTAGAGCTTTAAATAAGTGTTTCATGGTTAAATATATTTTTTAAATTAAAATTTATTGGGGTGACAATTTTAAGGATTCCATATTTGACAATATATTTTTGGTTGGAGCAATGAAAAGTGATGGAGCAATGAATTAGTGAGGAATAAAGAAGTTCATAAATAATAATATCCTCAATTTAGGTCAAAT